CGCACGCAAAAGCCACCACAAGGCCACAGCAATGGCTCAAGGGCACCCCACGGCCGCAGCAATGGCTTCTTATACGCGTTCAAGGCTGACGTTTGCCAGGCCTCAAACGCTCCAAAACCCTCCAAAACCCTCCAAACCCTCCAAAAAGTCCGCCCCTCCAAACCCTCCAAAAGTTCCGGCCAGCGATCCGCAAGGAAAAGGTACCCAAACAAGCCCAACACGCGCCACTCCCGCACGCAAAAGCCACCACAAGGCCACAGCAATGGCTCAAGGGCACCCCACGGCCGCAGCAATGGCTTCTTATACGCGTTCAAGGCTGCCGTTTGCCAGGCCTCAAACGCTCCAAAACCCTCCAAAAACCCTCCAAACCCTCCAAAAGTCCGGCCAGCTCCGCAGGGAAAAGGTACCCCAACAAGCCCAACACGCGCCACTGCCGCACGCAAAAGCCACCACAAGGCCACAGCAATGGCTCAAGGGCACCCCACGGCCGCAGCAATGGCTTCTTATACGCGTTCAAGGCTGCCGTTTGCCAGGCCTCAAACGCTCCAAAACCCTCCAAAACCTCCAAAAGTCGGCCAGCCTTCCGCAAGGAAAAGGTACCCCAACAAGCCCAACACGCGCCACTCCCGCACGCAAAAGCCACCACAAGGCCACAGCAATGGCTCAAGGGCACCCCACGGCCGCAGCAATGGCTTCTTATACGCGTTCAAGGCTGCCGTTTGCCAGGCCTCAAACGCTCCAAAACCTCCAAAAGTCCGGCCAGCTCCGCAAGGAAAAGGGGTACCCCGCAAGGAAAAGGTACCCCAACAAGCCCAACACGCGCCACTCCCGCACGCAAAAGCCACCACAAGGCCACAGCAATGGCTCAAGGGCACCCCACGGCCGCAGCAATGGCTTCTTATACGCGTTCAAGGCTGCCGTTTGCCAGGCCTCAAACGCTCCAAAACCCTCCAAAAACCCTCCAAACCCTCCAAAAGTCCGGCCAGCTCCGCAGGGAAAAGGTACCCCAACAAGCCCAACACGCGCCACTGCCGCACGCAAAAGCCACCACAAGGCCACAGCAATGGCTCAAGGGCACCCCACGGCCGCAGCAATGGCTTCTTATACGCGTTCAAGGCTGCCGTTTGCCAGGCCTCAAACGCTCCAAACCCTCCAAACCCTCCAAAAGTCCGCCCAGCTCCGCAGGGAAAAGGTAACGCTCCAAAACCCTCCAAAACCCTCCCAACCCTCCAACAGTCCGGCCAGCTCCGCAAGGAAAAGGTACCCCAACAAGCCCAACACGCGCCACTCCCGCACGCAAAAGCCACCACAAGGCCACAGCAATGGCTCAAGGGCACCCCACGGCCGCAGCAATGGCTTCTTATACGCGTTCAAGGCTGCCGTTTGCCAGGCCTCAAACGCTCCAAAACCCTCCAAACCCTCCAAAAGTCCGGCCAGCTCCGCAAGGAAAAGGTACCCCAACAAGCCCAACACGCGCCACTCCCGCACGCAAAAGCCCCCACAAGGCCACAGCAATGGCTCAAGAGCACCCCACGGCCGCAGCAATGGCTTCTTATACGCGTTCAAGGCTGCCGTTTGCCAGGCCTCAAACGCTCCAAAACCCCCCAAAACCCTCCAAACCCTCCAAAAGTCCGCCCTCCAAACCCTCCAAAAGTCCGGCCAGCTCCGCAAGGAAAAGGTACCCCAACAAGCCCAACACGCGCCACTCCCGCACGCAAAAGCCACCACAAGGCCACAGCAATGGCTCAAGAGCACCCCACGGCCGCAGCAATGGCTTCTTATACGCGTTCAAGGCTGCCGTTTGCCAGGCCTCAAACCCTCCAAAACCCTCCAAACCCTCCAAAAGTCCGGCCAGCTCCGCAGGGAAAAGGTACCCCAACAAGCCCAACACGCGCCACTGCCGCGCGCAAAAGCCACCACAAGGCCACAGCAATGGCTCAAGGGCACCCCACGCCTGGCTTCTTATACGCGTTCAAGGCTGCCGTTTGCCAGGCCTCAAACGCTCCAAAACCCTCCAAAGCCCTCCAAACCCTCCAAACCCTCCAAAAGTCCGGCCAGCTCCGCAGGGAAAAGGTGCCCCAACAAGCCCAACACGCGCCACTGCCGCACGCAAAAGTCACCACAAGGCCACAGCAATGGCTCAAGGGCACCCCACGGCCGCAGCAATGGCTTCTTATACGCGTTCAAGGCTGCCGTTTGCCAGGCCTCAAACGCTCCAAAACCCTCCAAACCCTCCAAAAGTCCGGCCAGCTCCGCAGGGAACAGGTACCCCAACAAGCCCAACACGCGCCACTCTCGCACGCAAAAGCCACCACAACGCCACAGCAATGGCTCAAGAGCACCCCACGGCCGCAGCAATGGCTTCTTATACGCGTTCAAGGCTGCCGTTTGCCAGGCCTCAAACCCTCCAAAACCCTCCAAAACCCTCCAAACCCTCCAAAAGTCCGGCCAGCTCCGCAGGGAAAAGGTACCCCAACAAGCCCAACACGCGCCACTGCCGCACGCAATGCACCCCACGGCCGCAGCAATGGCTTCTTATACGCGTTCAAGGCTGCCGTTTGCCAGGCCTCAAACGCTCCAAACCCTCCAAACCCTCCAAAAGTCCGCCCAGCTCCGCAGGGAAAAGGTACCCCAACAAGCCCAACACGCGCCACTCCCGCACGCAAAAGCCACCACAAGGCCACAGCAATGGCTCAAGGGCACCCCACGGCCGCAGCAATGGCTTCATATAGGCGTTAAACCCTCCAAACCTTCCAACTCCTCCAAAAGTCCGCCCAACTCCGATGCAAAAGGTACCCCAACAGGCGCCACGCCCGCACGCAAAAGCGACGACAAGGCCACAGGCTTGAGAAGCAAACGGCCGTATGTCTGTCTTGCTGTCCGTCTCCCTCTCTCTCTCTACAGTACCCCCCTCCAATTAAGGGGGTCGGCGGCACCTGGGCGCTAGCCCATTCTATAATAATCTGATAATTCCTGGTATAATTCCTCTATAATATTATAATATTCTGATATGATGGGGAATAATAGCCATTGAACATTCAATTGGACATTATCCAATTGATATGGCAGTGTGTCAAAACCTTGTACCCCTGTAGTTCACATCAAAATAGCTGGGATTCATGGATGTTCATTCCCCTAAAAATGGTATTAATAGATATTGACTATTGATCCATACCCATATCATCCCCATTGAAGGAATCATCCCCCATCCTTTCTCCCGCCTTCAAGGCATCTTCCAAGTAGCGCAACACGAAGCCACGATCGCTGACCGCTGCCAGGGCGATCTCGGGGTCGCGGCGGAGCTCGGGGTGCGCGTGGATCACAGCGAAGCCGTTGTGTTTCACCTGTGATGATGTGGGTTATGGATGGATGATATGGTGATGTTTGATGATGTTTCATGATTTTTGGAACACCAGGTGTTTCCCGAACCTAAGGAACCTGACTGAATCAATTCCTGCTCCCACTGAAACAGATCCCAATATGAAACCATCCAGGCACTGCAGCCAGAACAATGTCTCGATCGTTGCGAAGGTCCTCCGACAGCGTCTCTAAACCTGGAGGATCACATGGGGAATCTCCACCTTCACGGGGGATTACAATGATTAACCACATATAATGATGAAACCAACCATATGAGCCCAATATTGGGGATATGATACATTGATTGACTCAGGATTTCAATTGTTTATGCCAACTACAATGATGATATGATGCAATGAGTATATAATGCAACATGATTTTACATATTTATACCAACTATCATGGGGAATGCACTGATATGGAACGTAAAGGGATATAAGTGATATAAGCCACTAACGGAAAGGTTGATGATACTTGATACTGTTCACTCAAAATCGAGGCACAGAGCCCATTGCAGCGCACATCATGGAGAGCTTGGGCACGTCTGGCGTCAACGCGGATCAAGGAGAGCTCCAGAGTTGTCGTCGTCGTGTCCCTGGCAATGGCTGAGTGACATTGCTGGAAATCACTCGACATGAAACGGTGATACAAAACTAGGCTGATCTCTGGATGGTCCTAACCGTTCTAACCTATTTGGGTCAAAGAGCTAGTACCTTGGTGAAAACCAAAAAAAACATGTTATTCCTGACAAGTTCACCTATTCATGATAACAGGTGCTACTTGTTTCTTTGATTCACTTCTTATGTTTTCTTATACAAACAATTTAAAAAATAAAAAAACATCAGGGAAGATCCAAAGATATGGGGAACATCCCCAACGTTGCCAATTACCAAAGCCATCCAAGTCTCATATCAACCTCCATGGCATCAGCATCTGCAGGGATCAAACTTCCCAAGAGCCGTTCATCTTCCAGGTCCTCACCGCAACACACCAATTTCTGCTCGATGCAGGAGATTCCAGAGCTGCATTCGATCTCTGCTTTGAGATCCTTGGACCATCAGCGCAGAATGATCCCTCATTTGTAGATTTTAGACTCTACTTGAGTTTTGAACTGGAGGTTTTTCACCATACTATGCCAAATCCCAGCAGCGGAATTGCCAGGTTGTTCAGTTGCTGAATTTTGTGCCAAGTCTCACCAACAGTGTGTGCCTTTGAGCAGTTCAATGTACAAAGAAATCCAGAAAATCCGTTCATGTTCACCTCCATCTGCCCAAGAAGGCACACTACAGGAAGATGCGAGGAAAGCTGCTCTCGACTTGAATTTCTTTGTTGTTTTTCACCTGCTTGCGAGAATCAGACTTGGTCAATGTGCATGTCTCGATCTGTGGTGGTTCTGAAGAATAAAAATAAAACTGGATCCCTTTGAGCCAAATGCGCCAATCACTGCCCAAGATGTATCGTGCATCTGGAAGGGCTTGCTTCTAGGCGTGTCTCAAATTGGAGACTCCTAAACGACCACAATGCAAAGCTGAGCCCACAACTCAAAGATTTCATCAGATATCATGCGAAGTCTTACGGGCACCAGTTGCACTGATACGTATTGTTTCTCACAACTCCTTTTGTAAAATGCTCGCCCATCTGCACAGCTCAATGGCTTAACATGGCTTAACATGGCTTAACATTGCTTGGAATCGAGCTTGCTCGCCCATCCCCTTGAGCTTCCCTGGCTGTTGCAAGTTGCTTCAGCTTCTTCACCTGCTCCTGTGGCTCAAAAAGCCTTGGAGAGTCCCGGGAACCATCTCATCATCCCAATTCAGGCCTCCCCAATCATCGGAATATCGGAATATCATGGAATATCCATAGTTTCACGCAGTAAATTTCAGAGTCAATCCCATGCCATTCCCAGGGTGTCCTTGGCCTTCTCTTCTGCAGTCTCCAGCTCCTTTACCCCGCGTGAAAAATGGCTGGAAGATCTCCGACTTTTATCTTTTTTGGACTTGTTTTGACTGGAAAATTATCAAAAACATATTATACGTAAGCTTAGATCACAAGATTCTGCATGATATTACAAGAATGGCGGACAAATGTTCAACTTGCCAAGGCTGGACTAAATGGGGAAGAATGCATCATGTATATTGACTGAAGACATCTAATGTCGCGGCCTTTTCCCAAATTTAAAGCCTGTGGATACCCCTACAACCAAATCTTGCCACCTGCGCAGCTCAGCGGACTGGAATTTTTGGACACCACCGCCTTCGCTGCGGCAGAGCTCATTGGCATCTGCGCAATGGCAGGAAAAGTCCAAACAAGACTGCTCCTAAGTGATGTGTTTCGTCGGATTTGTGGAGTCTCTGATTTGCTAAGATGTAAGGGAGCCATTCACATCAAATCGCTTCATCTGCCTGTGGCGTGGCAGGCTGCTGGCAAGGAACCAGTGATCGGATGTCGTCTGTGACAGTGGTGGGTCGAAATGAATAGGATTCAGATTTGATATTGAAATGTTTAAATCTATACCTATGACACTTATACCAGTATTTCCAGGTTTGGGCCAGTTTTGACCCGTACCTCACTATTTGCAGATTTTGTTGGCAATCCCCTGCCGCTTTGGAAATTTCCCACCGGTTATGCCACGCCTGCTTCCCGTCGATCACGTCGTTAACAGTCAGCGCAACAAAGTTGCGCAATGGCATAGTGACTTCATCAGCATGCCTCAGAGCAAGTCGTCCTTTTCTCAACCTGCATTTGAGTAAACCCTCAATTTGTGGAGCTTGGACCAAAAGTGACCAAAATACATCCTGTTGGTCATATCATATTATCTTTATAAAACATGATAAAACCATATAAAACCCTATTTGCTTAACATACCCCCCTGTTTGCTGGGCAGGAGGAAGGGCCTATGTAGCGGTGCAACGGGTGGTGCTCAATCTGCGGCGGGATTTGGTCGCGGCTATATGACTCATATATCCGTGTCCTCATGACCTGATGGATATCTTCTTACTCTGGAAGTTTTGGAAGTCACATTAATCAAATGCCAAGATATGCCAAGATATGCCAAGATATGCCAAGATATGCCAAGATATGCCAAGATATGCCAAGATATGCCAAGATATGCCAAGATTCCATTGGGTGTGTACATCTTCTGGCAGCCAGTGTTCCCTCGCAGGTTTCGATGCGTTGGCCCGGAAGAACGCCAGGTATGGATGGAGGAAGTTGGAATTGTGCGCCCGGTGTGCTTCTGTGGCCCCCACGCGGGCAGTGGATAACACCGCGGGACCGTGGAAGTGTTCATTATATCCTGGCGAAAAAATATCTGCGAAAATGCAAGATGAAACTCTAAGATCAAACAGCTGGAATTGAGAGCTGAAGATTAAACTGATTGAACATGTGATCCTTTTTTTCGAAAAACTGAGGCTCTGGCTGAAGACCCAAGTGAGTCTGGCAGTGGAAGCGTAGCGTTGATGGAAATGCTTCAAAGGTACTTCAGGCAAATAGCGCGCCATCCACGCCTGAAGAATGTTTGGTCCAGTGGACTATTGGACCTCCCCAAATCCTGTGCTTCCCAGTCAAAAATCGAGAAATGGTGATCTGGGGCATTCTGGGGGAGGTAAGCCTTTGGGCAAAAATCCCATGGAGGAAACCCTTATGACACATCTGACCATCATGCGGCACCTTGGTGGTCTGGTTCTGCTCGAAAAGAACCATGTCACCCAAGAACTCAAACATTTGATACGGCCCAGAGGCCTGGCATTGCATCCAAATTCCGACTTTGTTTGGCAATCAGAATCCATTTTGAAGAAGGAAAATGGAAAGGCACAGCATAGATGTTATGCCCGGTTACTGAACCAACTCCAAAAAGGATGAGTGTGATAGGAGTGATGTAATTATAGTTTGAGTCTTCAGCAACATTGCAGTTTGCAACCCTGTTTTTTGAGTCAAAGTTCCAAAGATGCGTTCCATCGTACTACCACCCAGCACACTATGGCACCATTGTATAGAGACAGATTGATCAGATTGTATCTTGGGACCTGTAAACACTCAGGAGTTTCTTTCCCAGACCCGTTAGATGATGGTATGCTCCCTGGGTGATTGCCTGGGAAGGTGGGTGGGTCATAACATGGCATGACCCGCTGATGTTGGCACCTCATTGATTCGATCCAAGAGCCTTTGCGCCAAGTCTGAAGCTCCAGCCGCTCGGGAGCCAGCTTTGGACGGGTCGCAGAGCCATGGAACTGAATCGTGCACCTGACTTTTCAGAATATACAGATATTCATTCACATTAAATGTGTGTAATCAGTTGCTGAGATGGCTGAATTGGTCTCAATTTGGAAGTGGCTATTTTTCTGGGAAAGAAAACATCTCAGCAGGTCGTCTCCTGAGTGCTTCTAGCACAACTGAGCAGCCAACCGGTGAAGTCAACAAGTCTTGCACCCGCTGCAAACGAATGGCAGTCTGGGGCCATGGAACTCCAAAGTTCTTCTCCTCCAAGAGCCGAAAGAGGGTGCGTGCCGTATATCCTGACAGCAACAGTTGTAACAGCAATAGCTTTTAGACGTGCTCCCAAGTGCTTGGTGTATCAAGGCTGCCACACTTCTGCTCGGGGAAGGGATGATGTGGTGATTCTATGTGATTCTTACCTCATCCGAGGGACTGAAGCCATGGATGAAACCACCTGCAGATTTCCTGAAGTCCAGGCTATGACCGATGGTGCCAGCCACATAGAGTCCAGGTTTTCCAACCACCTCGAAGGTGTTTGAGATGTTGGGATACTTGCCGTGTTCCACCATATCCTTGGCGAATGTGTGCTTCAGCAATGGTGTCATTCTATCTTATGGGTTTTAGATGGTTTTAGTTTGTTTAGATGCTTACTTGGCAAACCCATCTATGATATGGTGAATGATATCTATGATATCAATGATATCTACTTTAATGCTCCATCAATGATCCTCATGATTCTTGCAGGGCTGGTTGGCGCAGACAGGGCTCCGGCTTGGTGGATGAATCCAAAAAACTGGTGTCCATGGTCCAGCCGAAACATCGGATCACATGATCCACGGGGAAGCGCGTGTGCTTGGCCGCATATTTCATGCGAAAATCTGCCATGGCATCCATTAATTCAGGATTCCTCCTGAGGAGATTGGAATTCACCTGGGCCAAGATGAGTTCAGTGCCAGGGCTGAATAAATGAGACAGAAAGAACTAAAATGAACTAAATGTTGAATGATGTAGATGTCCGGGTGTCTGTGTCTCTGAAGTTGGGGATCCCCAATCCTCCGTTCATTTCTCATCACCCGTCCCGACTACTCAATTTTGGTAAGAATCTGAGGATCCAAGTCAAATAAGGGCCATCATAATATGAGTAGGTCAAAACATGTCAAAACGTGTTTTTCACATCAAAACAACTGGTAGATTCTGGTGGATTCTGGTAGATTCTGGTAGATTCTGGTAGATGGATCGTGACATGTACCAAGTGACCAAAACCCAGGTGAACGATCCATCGAAGATGCTCTCGTCGATGGTCTCCGGTACGGCCGAGGTGGCGAAGTAACTCTCCACCGCCGGCTCCGTGTCCTCGCCCACTTCCAGGACCCTCGGGGAGCTGGCAGATGACATGGGTGGGGGTTTAGAAACCATGCAGAAACCATCAAAAAAAACATCCCAATACATGCAGCCCAAGGCGCCAACCATGACCCTCCTCATCAGGAGCCAAGCGTTCCAGGGTTTCACGCACACGTGGCTCGTGGTGAGACGCGATACCTGGCTGGTCTGGGTTCCCTTGAAAACTGTGGGAAGCTTTGGTTTGATGCTGGGTAGTCCAAAGCACTCTGTGCTGGCAGCTTCAAAATCAAGGCACGACCCATGAAGAGCATGAGGCTCATATTCTGCTCCTTGGAATAGAAGCGCTGTCGACCTGAGCACCGACTGCACTCGAATGGCCCAAGGTGAGACTATCCTTGCCTCCTAATCAATCAGCCATTTAAATTAATGGGACTCTGTTTGGCAGACCCTCCAACTTACTCTAACTCTATAGGACGGACTAAGGTGCAACGGCTGTCTTCTAAGGCTTCGGCATCTTTCATCATTGCAGGTATCGTCAGTGGCGACCCAAATGCACCGCCGATTGCCTTTGCATGGGAGGATGACGACTCGGTGGTCCTGCCAGGTATCAACACGTCCAAATATATAAAGTGCTGCAGCCCATGAACCTGCAACCTCACTACGCGATGATTCACAGTGATTCACACTAGTTGCCAAATCCTTTATCTCAAGAGTCAACCTGAGGCAACCTGGCAACCCGTCCCGGAGAGCATCGAAGTCAAAGACGTCGAGACTCTTCAACAGGTACGTGTCAAGGATGGTAGTTCGGCCGGCCCGAATGTCACCGACCTGAAGAATGAGGACTGCAAATAAAGCAGAAACACTTACAAACACAATATTTGTACAGCTCCCGTAGACAAAATCCATCAAAATCCTCATCCCCCCTCAGTACAGAGACTCAAAATGGATTTAAGAAATCATGTCTTTTTTCAATGTCATCCATAATTGTCATAAAATTAAATTTTCTCCATCAGTATCATGGCAAACCGTAGAAAACTCAGCAACTCTTTTCCGCATCCCCCACTGAGGCAGCGCGCGTAATGGGTCTGATATGCAAAGCGCACTCCTTCACCGCCTTCGGGCAAGGCCCTGGGCCGTGCCAGCAGATGTACCTGCGCCCCCGCACTGTCAGTGACCCCATCTGCACTGTGAAAGAGAAAATCTTGTGCCTCGGATGTGTATTTCTGCAACTCCTGGGCAGTTTCCAAGGCCTCAGGACTTGGCAATTGAAGGTCAAAATATGAAAAAATATGAAAAAAATAGTAATTAAAATAGTAATTTAGATTAATTTAGAGTAGTTCGAGAAAGCTCATCAGTGCCAACTGCATCTGTGCAGCTGATCCTTACAGATTGCCAAGTTGAATCCGAGTGGCTGCGTTGCCCATGCCCAGGATCATCACAGATTTCCCTTCAAACGATTCGCCCGTGGCAGGCATATCTTCGTAGCCTCGGTGCCCAGTTTGGTTCCAGTGTGATCAACTGAACGAAAAAAGCGGGGAGGACTGCAGGTTACAACCCATATGCGGTCATGCTACTGTCGACCAAGTCAACACCGTCCTTGGTTGGTAGCTGCAAGCAGGGAGGAAAGAATGCCGATCGTTGAGTACTGTCGGTGAAGTCTACAGAAAATAGAAGGAAGGAATGGGAATGCCAATGAGGAGCAGAGAGAAGGTGATCTCGAATATGCAATGACCAAACTCAATATGCCTTCGCTAACCTCCAACATCATCCAAGCATATCCAAGCATATCCAAGCATCTATCATGCTATGGCCTTGTCGCGGCACAGTCAGTCCATGGGCCAAGATGACTTCCCGGCAGCGGAACGTCTCCGCTGTCTCCAAGCGGATCGTGAAAACCTGCAATAGCAGCAACTTTCCATAGCTCCAATGGATTGAAAGTTTCGAGGAATTCTTGTAACGCAAATGCTTGGACCAAAGAAGAAAATTTATTGAATGACTAAATGATTTATAAATGTTTGGAAGTTTGGAAGGCAAAAAAAATGATTGAAAAATATTGAATTTAAACCCCCCCATGGAGATACATCCTGCCTGGCCCTGCTCCAGCTGCTCCCGACTCACTTGCTTCACCTGACCCGATGTCTTCACCAACAGCTGGCAGAAACAGCTGCTGGAAAATAGGGAAACAAAGCTGAAAAACATCTGCGACGTTCTGGAATATCTTCTCTGCAAAGATCTAGTGAAGCTGTGTCATGTCTTATGCAATGAGTTGAGTGCCAGTGGCTGAAGCCTCTTGACATGTGCTGGTTGCTGGAAGTCAGAATTCCACCCATTTCATCCCTTTGGATGCCATCACACATCACCGCATAATCGAGACCCGCATAGCAAGGCCTTGGAGTTGTAGCGGATGAAATCGCTTTGTTCAGCCGCGAAGTCGCGCAAGTAGTCCACTAAGACGTCAGCAGCTGGAAAGAGCTCTTTGGATCTTTTCGTCCTTAAACTGTTCAGCACGTCCCCACGTTACTTCTGATGTTGATTGCACCAGAGAAATGATTTTTTGAGAAATGAAAAATCTGCCTTTGCAAACAGGGCACACTGGCAATGTGCGATTCTCTCGCATGTCTATCAGGGAGTTCCAGTCGTGGCGGAAGGCAAAATCATGTCCCCGTCCATCTCGGACGGAGCGCTTGTTCAACGAAATCAACTTTCGGTGTCTGGGGAATTTCTCGAAGAAACTGCCGGCGTGGCTGTTCCTCTCGAAAATGATGTAGTCTCTGCCTGCATGGTACAGGAAGTGTCCAAGCTGGATTCCAGCGGGCCCTGCACCAATGATACAATAACCTCAGTGGGAAAATGGTCGGCGCGAGCGCTTCTTGCATTTTATCTTTTGTTGGCTTGAAACGCTTTTGTGTTGGTTTTGAGTAGAAATGGACCCACAAAGCCTATCAATGAAGTGCGCACGCTGCATGATTGGATTTTGCCTCGCTTGATCCACTGAGATCTCAGCCATGATTTTTCTGACTCTTGCTGGCATCACTCAGCCAGGTCAGAAGAAGCAAGAGCAAAGGCCGCATGGCGGAATTGCCGCACAATCACAGTGTCAGGGCTGCCCCAAGTGGTCTGAAACGGTCTGAATCTGAAATAGTCTGTGCAATTCTTCATGCATGGTCCAACATCTATCCCCTGCACTTGTTTTCTTGAAGTTGGCTCATGTTATCTTTGTCTTCAGCTCACACGTTTTGAGTGCAAAAGATCGGGGAGCCACCAGGCAGCATTTTTTGCACAATAAAATTATTACATCTTCTCAACTCAAGCTCTGATCTGTGGCAAAGAAAGGCAGAAAAGCTAGAGATGGTCACCATGACCGGCATCATGCTGAATGATTTCCAGTGGCCATCCATGGTCACCCGTCCTTCCGGAGCGAGACCACATCCTCAGACCCTGACCTCACCGTGGCCACGGTGGCACGGTGATGATGTTTGGACCATCCTATTGGATGGGCCAAGACGATCCACTGAGTGACCAGCCCGCTGGGTGAAGCAGCCTGCAGAAGTGTAATTTGGCTGTAAATCTCTGGATGGAAGCCATTAAACCTGCATGGTGTGTCAAACAGTGTGAAGTTGAGAGAAAGGTATGATGCTGCCAATCAAGCGTTTAAACTTTAAACAGTAGCGAATATTCAGCAACACTCACTGAAACAGTGGTAAACTGTAGCCAATCTGAAAGAGTCCAAAGTTTCAAAAAAGCTCTGGGAGTCTCTGGGATTCTTCAGATTCTAAGGATCGCTCCTGACCACCACCTTTGAGTTGGTCCAATTCTTTCCTGACCAACAACACAATGGAACTGCTTGCTTGAAGGCTTAAAGGCTGAAAGTAAACTCCGCAAGCGTCACTGGCTTTGGGTATGTTGACGTAACATTGGACTTCCATTCTCAAAGTAGGCCACTTGCCCCTGGCTACAAAAAATCTGTGCCGTTTCAAAAGTATGTAAATGCTGTAATGAGCTGCTTGCATCCACTTGAAATCCATTCAAGAAGAGGCGATCTGCCTTGGCCTATTTTGCATCGTTATTCTGATGCACATGTGGTGATGGTGGGTGCTGTGATGTGTTTCCACGCCCAGCGGCTTTTGTTTCTTCACCAGCTGCTCCAGCTCGGTACGCTTTGGGTCCTGTTGCTGTGAAGTTTTGACTTGCTTGACTAGATTCATTTGATATGTATCCATATATTATGCAATAGATGTACCCTCTGGTGATTTAACATAGCCATGGAAAATGGCCCATTTATAGATGGTTTACCTATTAAACATGGTGATGTTCCATGGCGAACTGTTAAATAACCAGATGGTAATACTCTTTATATGTGCAGTTACATGTTGGCACCTGCACACCTGGCCACCTGGCTACTGAGTTTGTCAAAGGTGATGCGCTCCTCGCCAGTGAAGGGTTTGCCAGCAAGTTCAGCTGCCAACTGCGCCACATCCTGGAGAAGCAGAACTGAAACCGTTGGGGAGACCATGAATTTTATGGAAAATGGTACATGATCAACATGATAAACCAACGGCCATGCTGGGGTTGGATAAACATGAGACACCATTGGATTTTGTGTATTGCTCATGTTTATCAATTGGTGTATTGGAAACCATTGGATAAATCCATTGGATAAAATGGATTATAATGGGATATATCAATATATCATGATTATAATGGATAAACAATGGGATATTATCTCATGATATAATGGTTTACCATGATTATAATGGCATATTATCCAATGGTTTATCATGATTCGAATCTTCCACCGTCACGAATCCAACGCTGTACCTTCTCCCAGCGTTCGTGGAGTTGAACGAGCTCAGCGTGATCCTCTGCAGCATCTTCCTCCGTTGGCCTCGGGTATGCAACTGTTGTGTTACGAATGCAGAGCTGATAGACATAGAGGTATACTACTATAGTATATATATATAGTAAGGTATAATTATAATGAGGTATACTATAGTATAGTATATACTGAATATAGGTATACTACTATAGTATATACTGAATATCTATCACATTAGATATGACTTAGTAGAATAAACGCAATGTGACTTAGAAATGGTAACTTATTTATGACTTATGCACTAATGCTATGCATTCAATGCATTCTATGTGTTATGTGTAACCGGCCAGTGCGCCAAGTGGCATACTCTGCAGCTGGCCCGGAAGGGACAGGTTGGGAGCTTTGGACTGGAACCAAGCCGCTTGGTCCCTCAGTCGTTGTGCCACGGATTGCATGTGCGCCAACTTTCTTCGAGTCTTCTGCAGCTCACCTCGGGGCAAAATGAACACGAAATCTGTGAGTTGGGCTGTGGATCTGAAAGGCTTCTTTCTATATATCTTATCTGTCCCTTGCATAAACAACTTGGCATATGGAGCCACCTCTTGCTCTAGAACCTTGACATCATATGTTCGAACTCTTCTTATACCATCGTGGAGGGAATGCTCAAGTTCTCCATCTACATTACCCTTGAATCCTTGCGTTGTAAGTCGTCACAAAGCCAACCATGCGTTTTCTCATTGTTTGATCAGCCCTGTCTCCAACCAAGAGAAACTCCCATTTTTCCACCATGCAGGGCCTCTAACGAGGGCACTTTGCGAGCGATTCACCTGCCAGGAATGGGTTGATCTTGGCCAGCCATTTTCCAGGTCACTGACACCAGAAATGTGAGGTACACTGTAACACTCCACGAAAAATACGCCATAATGGTTAATAATGGTCCATACTCAAAAAAAACACATTAGCCCTAAGCACCAGAGTTACCCATGTCATCCACAATCTTATATGCCACAAGTGTATATATCCAGTGTATACCCCAACTTTTGTTGGCTAAATCATCCCATTTCCAATCCCATGATATCATGATATCCCATCTGGTGGCGTCACACCTGCTGAAAGCTCTGCAGCTTTTGCTTCGTCAAGGTGTCCTCGGCTTTCACTTTCTCCAGCTCCTCCTGCAGCTCTGCGACCTTCTGCTGGGCCACATCCTGCAAGCGTTGACCAACGCATCATCGGTATTAATCGATATGGCAGGTTTGAGGATTGAGGATTGAGGGGAGGTGAAGACACTGGAAATGTGCAGAATGAGCTGTTGAAACCAAGAGTTGATCAAAATGCGAAGCCAAAGCTGGCCCAACCCCCAGTCCAACTGCTCTGAAAGCTGGACACACTTCTCTTCCATCTCCGGCTGGTAACCGATGGTATTTTCGATATCATCGAAACCCAAATCCATCCTTGGTGGGTCTCAGTGGCTTGTTGGTCCTCAACGCCAAGTTGCTGGGTTTAACTGTTTAACTTATGTACCGTCTGATGTGGTAAATCCAACCCCCCAAAACAGGCCCAAAACACTCAAAATAAAATTCATGGAAATCCAACCTCCAAAACACTCAAAATAGAAATGATGAAAAATTTGGCTGTAATCCATCCAGCATCATCTGTTGCATCTTTGAATTCACCTGCGGTACTCGTCCAGCCATCGTTGGGTCATAGACCTTTGGTTTCTGGAACATCTTCTCCGCCATTCCGCGTTGCGAGACGACCGAGGTGGGTTGCCCAGCCAGTCGCGAAAACTCGAAACAGGGAAGGACAGTTAAGGAAGCTAAAGAGCTACTTAGTGCCTGATCATGTCCTAAAGTCTGGTGAAGTTAAGTGAAGTTCCTATGTAGACAGTTCTGTTTTTCATGAGTCTGGTTCTTCTGCGTCTGGTGTATTGTATGATGCCACGTTGATGCTGCAGTTCTGTATCGCTTTCCAACCATTGCAAAAGTTATATATGCCAATCTGCTGCAATGCACATGGATTTGAGCCCCATGGAGAACAAACTGCTCGAGCTGGGCAGCCATTGCCAAAAGGCCAGGATGACCTAGGAGGACAAGTACCCAAGACCCAAAATGAAGCCGTGTTAGGACCGTAAACCAGGCAGGGTAACAACATCAGCATATTATATATTTTGGATGCTCCTCCAAGCCTGGACCATTGTGGACCTATGTTTTTCTAGGATCATTGAATAGACAAAACCTGGAGCTCCGCTTTTTGTGGCCCCTTTGGACCCGAGTCAGTCTCAGTCCGCTTTCGCTTTGGACGCTCTGCCTCAAAGTTTTCCTGGGGGAGGATCTATCTGCCCGGAAAATGCAAAGGTTTGGTTAGGCTGGTCGACCAAATTGGTCAAGTTGTTGGATTCCGAACACAACATGTCCAACTAATCTTGAAATCACTTCAAAAAATCATGACATTGTCACATCATGTCACATCGATGTGTCTTACAGCAGAGCACCTCCACGTGTTCCTCAGTGATGTAGGTGGGTAACGGGGTGCCCGTCGTTGGAGCACCAGCAAACCACGTGACCTGCCAGTAAAACATCCCCTGGCAGAAGTACCGCCATCTTTGAGGTTTCAAATTTGGAGCATGGACAAAGACCTGGCAAATACTAACAGTGTGAACACCAGTTTCTTCAGGAAATCTCTGGCAATTCTGGCACAACAAATTCGTGCTGATCTTAACATCCAGGAGAGCTGGATCCCTCTGCACCTGCAAGGGCATCTCAGCTGCAGGGCGGCTGGCCTGGCTTGGTCACAAAATATCACGGCAGTGATGAATGGGTTCCCGTGGGTTTCCAATGATTCCGACCATCAACTTCAATCAAAAGAACAGTCTCAAGTTCGATGGCAAACACGGATTTTGACGCACCTGCAACTGAATAAGACTGAAACCTGCAGTTTGATAAAGATTTTTTTTGAACATCACTATGCGATCATGCTTTATTTACATTGTCTAACGTCCCAGGATAGGATATGATGGGACGATAGGCTACCAAGACGCAATCCTCAGAACAAGCTATCGTCTCGCGGCCTTCGTCCAACGCTCCAAGCACAAGACTTTCTGGATGTTGGCGCAACGCCGTGGCAAGCCGCCCTGTGGTCGCTCTGCAGGGGAACTGTGGTAACCGCTTGGACAGAAATATAATCGTCTCAATGCAACAAGAGAGAAGAACCTGAGAAGGGAGGAACGAAAGCCATGGGAGTTCAAGAAAACGAGTTCCTTCTCCATACCTACTGTACCTCCATTCAAGGACCCTTACGGGCGACATTCCCTCCAGGGAACGGACCAAGAGAAATCTGTTTCAGACAACCATGTTCACACGCCCTTATGCAATCCTTGCGCAGATAATGGTCCCACATCGGAGCCCGACAGTTTCGGTAGAAGAGTCAATATAAAATGGTGTGAAGTAATATCCTGGTTCTGGATCTTGAGCTCTGTACTGCGCTCAGCCTTCTGGTGAGGAAGGACATGGAGAAAAGTAACCATTGAGTTCTAGCCTTTCCAAGCAGTGCCATTGCCCTCATCCTACTCACCCTCCTTTCCCTTGCACTTCCCTTGTACGTCTCCCCCCCAAACCACTTCTGCCTAGAAAACCCTGGCCTCTAATTGAAACCTATCATTCTATTCTGGTCTCTATATTATATTGCCTCCCAAAATGCACCTCCAGGGACGGACCAGGGGGGAATCGATACCCCACCGTCACCCACTTGCCACCTGGCACATGCCCCTCAAAAATGCTCAAAAAACAAGGCTCCACTGCACCTAAATCCGTGATTTTGGATACCTTTGGCACGCTCTGGCCCCAGACCCCCTTAACTCACTTTGTTCGCAAAAAAAAACTTCGCCTAGCCTAGCGGCTGGCTTTCGTAATAAAGGGGCTTATAGAGTTCAAAGAGGCTGAAGCTTCAGCACTTGTGATGTTCTTGGAAGACTTGAACCGTGGTCGAAATTGACAGAGACAGCATAAAACAGAAAAACAAGACATCATCACCTCTCAGCACTCCGTGCTACAGGATCCCCCCAACTGCAACTCTTGAGATCATAATCAGCAGCAAGATGGCCGTGACCGTCTTGAGTTTTCCCTCCACTCAGAGATGTTTGGATAGGGGCAAAAAAATCACTTTATAATTTAGTCAAAAGCATGATTTTGTTGAAATGACAAACTGGACCTTCCTTGGAACTGGCGGTTTTGAGGGATTGCCCGTTGGCTAGTGAATATCACCATCGTATCAGAAGGAGACAGTATTTTGCAGGCATGTGATGGCATGTGTCAAATAATTGGGTATGATCTTGAAAAATTGATGATAAAGGCTAAACGTGACTAAACTATTCCATAGCATCCGCATCCCTGCATACAGGTTGTCCAAACATTGGAGAATCTTTGGTGGCGGACAAAATTACTCACTACCCGCAATGGACATGGCATGACATGGCCAAAGTGGGTGGTCCCCTATCGGTTGTGAAGGTTTGTATTTCCATGCTGTGTGCAAAAATAGGGTATCGGTAAGTGGGTGGTCCCCTATCGGTTGTGAATGTTTTCGCGCAAATTTGAACATCCCATGTCCACTCCCCACTACTTTAGTCCTTTCATTTTGTCGGTTACTCATATCATATCTCCTTAAATTGCGTGATTTTGATAAGAATTATGATCAATGATCAGTAATGATTAGCCACTGAGATTTTGGTGTTTTCATGTGTTTCAGACAACCGCACAGGGCGGTCCCGCCTTCACCGGGATCAGTTTGCGGCTCCGCACGGCGTCCTGCCGTTTGGCTCGCCATTCGAAGCGACAGGCGTCCAACTTGCTGGGGAAGCCATGCACCTGAAATACCAGGCGCGTTCCAGAAACCGGCGGAAACATGATGAAAAAAACATGAAAAACATTGCAAGACTATGGAAAAAATGGGTGGGGCGGTATGACCTCCACAAGATTGTGGTGTAAATCCACATTTAGGTAAAATACATGCCCAATTGTAGAACTCGTGACGGAGCTTCTAGTTGGTGTTACTGATGTTACTGTTGGAGAAGTATGACATCACATGCTCTCGAGATTGGTCTGGTTGTGGTTCATTACCCTCATCAATTATCAAACCATGTCAGACCCCTCAAGTCCGACAAATACCTCCACAGCAAGGAGACAAGCCACCACGCAAAGCACATTCCATGGACCTCCGCTGCGAGTCGCTTTGGCACCTCCGCGGATTTCCCCGTTGTGCTGCCTCAAACGTCTGGAGAGATCTGTGGTGATGCCGGTGTAGGTGCGAGAACCACTGAAGGAACGAAGTACATAGCAGCAATAGCCTGGAAGGACTTCGAATGCACTTAGCCGCTAAGTGTTAGGATCTGCCACAAATTCCACTGGTTGGACGTGCCAAATAGTGCCAAATCCTTGTCCGACCATTGTGCACAAATCGTGAGTGTGTGTGTGTGTTCATGTGAACAGACAACAGGTAACTTTGCGTGTGTCAGCAATGTTCTCCCACCCCGCACTGACCACATTTGCCTTTGATGTGTTTGTCCGCAAAATCGAATCCAAAGAACATCATGACTTCAAACCATCCGCCCATCCCAAGCATTGCCTCGGCCCTCCTCACTCTCCTGCGAAATGGATCTTGCTACAGGCACTGCCATAGGATGTCGGCTTCACTCTAATAGATTCAGAGTTAACTTTCTGCAGTCTTCGTTGTATACTATTCGTCATATTGATCCTTTTCAAGATTCAGAGCTTCTGGTTTGGGAGACTTGTTCAAATCAGGGTGTCAGGAATGTAGGCAGTTTTAACTTTATAGCCACCCAAAATCTTGCCAGAAAAGCTGAAAAACTCGACACTCCTCGCTCTTGTCACTGCTACTGCTGCTGCTACTGCTGCTTGAAGCGGTGCTAGAGGCTCGAGGGGCAGCCGCTGGCTTGCCTGTCAAGTGGCCAGGTCGAGTGCACATGAAGAATGAGAGCTTTGGTAGCAAGATGCACCAAGATGCACCACCAAGATGCACCAAGACTCAGCTCAGCAAACGTTACAGTGCTCACAAGATTTCAGGAGTGCAGTACAAGACAGCCTGAACATGGTTATGGAAAATGTGAAATACAACATACTTGAGATCTACTCTATCCTCCTTGGCCCAACCTCGAGACAAATTCAATGATCGTCCTGGTCGTGCCGACTTTAGGCCCATGGCAAACACGAACAACGCTAGAGCCCCTTTGGGGCTCATGTGAATTGCACATGGATGGCTTGACAGCGTCGCACAACCAAGGGCTCCAAGGAGACTGACGCGCTTTTAGGTTCGGAAGGTAACATTTTTGGCAATGTTCAGCACATTTTTTCACTCATCGTCTAGAAAAAAAAGAGGGACCAGTCTGATCTATCATCATCTATCATCTGTAATTATTCATTTATCACTTACCAGTTGTCAAGAGATGTTTAGCTCATCCTTCCATCCGCCAGGAAAATGACTTGTTCGAGGCCATGAAGCTTGGAAATGTTCGCTTCATCGTTGAATTTTGGTAAATCCGAGTGGATTCCTCAAGCCCAAAGATGTTGCAATAGGCAACAAATGACCTGAAAAGAGAAAAATATAGAAAAATGGGATTGTGAAACCTTCTTGCAGTGCTCAGTACTGCACCAAGTACAGAAAGAAGGAAACAAATGCCAGCAATTGGATAGGAAACAAAGACTGCAGCGAGTGTCCAATCAAAAGACAAAAAAAAAACGGTGAAGCGCTGACGGGAGCATTTTTCCCGCAGGACGGGGGGCTCCAAACCCCAACTGGGTCCAACTGGTTCCTTGAAGGTCAGAAACGTTCAGAAACGTTCACCACGATCCAATGTGCTCCACAGCCTTGACAATCTTTACAGCTCCCAAGCTGACTTAAGACATGTGAGGAGAGACACCCCGCTATCTGGATCTGCTTCGCGCTTTCTGTCTTGGTCTGAAATTGCTCAGTGTTGATGGACATTTCATGCAAAAAAATGCTATCCACTGTGACAGGGTAAAAAATGATAGACAGGATGACGCCACCAACATCTGTGAACTGTATCCATCGCAATACTGTCGGGTCCACTTTCTCTTCACCAGCCTGGGGTTCTCCGCTAAGCAACACATATCTTGGGCATTCTTGGGCCATATCCTGCCCAGCAAGCGGGCAAGTAATATTGGGCACACAACCAGCTGAAGATTGACAATATTGCACAGCCCACTGTTGCTCTGTGGCAAATACAGCTTGACAAAACACATCTCCTGCATAGAAACGACGTTTTTCGTTAACTCTGCTGCCGATTGCCACCTATTGCTGCATCTGTTTCAGAGACAAACACCACCCCAGTTCCAAATCCAAGTCTTTTTGCCAGCCTTCAGCAAGTGATAAATGTTCTTTGTAGCAAAAGCAACTTGGCACCTCACTTCCAAGGCCACACCTTGGCTTTGCAACAAGCTGTTACGAAGACAGCACAAATTTTGATTCCATCCAACTATCCGTCCCTGAAAATCACAAAACGTTGGGAGGTGTTGGGATACCCGGGACCCCTTTCCGATGATCTGTTGGCAAGGTTTCTTGTTCAATGCCTTCAGGTTGCGACTGAAACAACTGCGACTACTGAGGTTCTCAGTTTATCCATTTTTTATGTCTCCAGATTTGGAGGTGCGGATCTTTTGATGTCTGAAACCAAACTGGGACAGCCTGGCAAGTCACGAAAGCTCAGCCAAAGTCAGTTGGTACATCTGCTGCTGTCCAACAAGAGCAAATCAGGCCGGAACAGGACTTGCAAAGCCTGCAACGAGTGCAAGTGTCCAGCGCAAGCATTCCAGTTGCAGATGCGAACAAAAAAATCAGCAGCAGTTTCTTTATTGCAGACATACTGCTTGCGGATGCTTGGGGGATCTTCAGAATCAACAATGAAATCAATGAATCAACAAAAGAAAACGGTGGGATCAAAACGTGGGTCTTGGAACACTGGTTGGAGGCTTCAGTGGGTCATTTACGTCTGGTTTGCCTCGAAGGTACGGTAACTGGCACAAACTTGACCTGGCACAAGACGTGAGTCCTGTTTTTACCTAGGAGGTTGATCTTTACCCATAGCAGCCATATGTTGCCAGACCCTCGCATCACAAGACAGAAAAGGAATGAAAGACAATGAAAAGCACCAGCATTTTTCTGCTACAGAGCATGGCGTCTGCCTCAGGGCAGCTCACGGCTGCTTGGACAAAGAAAAGTCACTCGACCTGAGACCTGTAGTGCCTGTCGCAGTGCCTGTCCCAGTGCCTTTGGTGTTCGCTGTGTTTGCGGACTGCGCAGACTGTGCCACTGTGGCTGCCTCCTGTCCATCTGTCAAAAAAATGGGGCTGCGCAGACTTCTAGCCAACCTCAAGTCAGAAGCCTCCACAAGTTTCATTCGGCGGTATTCAAATTCGACCAAGCAGGTTTTTGCACCAACAACCTCTGGGCAAAGACGTGCTTCTTCCCAAGTCTCTCCGGACTTGACGAGCACTCTGTATTTGTATTTGCCCTTCAAATACTGTTCTAAAGGTTCAAGATGCGTCTTGTCATGCAAGCGACTAAGGCTAACAGGATAAGGATAAGTATGTGGGCTAGTCCGCCCGATGGGCTCTAGTGAAACCTTCTTCAGCACAGGTGGTTGCAAGGGCCGCACATCCCCCAACTTCTTCTCTTTCCCATCAAAATCAAGGGGATGCAACACTGTTCTGGGAACTTTGTAGATACCACGCTTTCGATTGTCTACAGGTGTCACCAGCAGCTCCACATGATCCCGTACCAGCAATTCCCCAGACCGGTCGTGTGAGGGGAGCAGAACGACGATGTGACCATCGAGCTCTTTCCGAAATTCAGGAACATGCAAGAAACCCAAGTGTTGGGAGATGGTACATTTGAACAAATTGCCAGGAAGCCAAGTGGCAACAAAATCCTTGGCTAACTTCAAACATTTTGGAACCTGAGGGCGCGACTTGAACCGCTGGGCTACATAGTGTGCAAAGTTGACAAAATCTTTTTCTAATCCAGTGAGTTTCAGATTGGAGCTCCGAAACACTTGCTGTAGCAATTTCAGGTCGTGTCTGCTCAAGGCATCCGTGAGATCAATAAGATCCTGTTCTGGCTGTGGTCTCTCATCCTGAAAGAAAGTAATCTGCGCTTCAATCGGAGTTGTCTCGTCAACTCTTTCCAGTGTGAAGCGATTTCTTCGAACATCGTGGTTTCTGTGCATTGGGTTTGCACCAAACACCTGCAGCACCACCTGGGAAATAATGCGGCGAATCAAGCTAAAATCGTCTTTTTGCAGCCAAATGCCAACAGAAATCCTCAATGGCGAGCCATTGGATGATCTGATTACAATGACACCCAGAACATCGGAGTCATGGCCAGAAATGCCGTAGTTTGCGCTCTTTTGATAAGCTGGCATCTTGACTACTGCAAGGGAACTCCACAAAAAATCTGGATCAACCAGAAACTCTTGCACCTGTCTCTGAAAGCCTGAATCTCTGATGAGATTAAGTTTGGCCAACTCTTCAGGTTGCCTTATTAGGAAGCAAAGGTTGTCGGTGCACCCGGCCAAAAGCTTCTCGCGAATCTCTGGATTGGGCACATTGCCTTTTTGGTGTTGGGAGAAGTTCGTTTGTTCCAAATCTTTCTCCTTCGACAGCTGTGTCTCGGAAATATCTTGTGCTTTTCGATTCGTGGATTCCTTTTCCATCTTTTCCCTGTTCTGAATTGTTTCCTTCGCCTCCAAGGTCCCGGCGCATGTTGCATGCGCTGCGTGGCTGCCAGCTTCACTTGCTGCAGCTGCATCTGTTCCATCTACTGCACTCTTGTTGGTTAAATTTGAACTCAAACGGCCAAACTCGTACTGCTTGCCCATGATCTTCAGCTTTTGCTGAAGAACGTCTTGCAACCATGCAGGATCATCCAAGGCCTCCCGATCTGCCCCAAACGTGTTGTCATCAAAATTTTGCTCCGTTGAAGGCACAGTGGTGCTGTCCGCACCTTGCTCGATGGGAACAAGGTGCTGTCGCCATTCCTCAGCATCTTTCCCTTGCTCTTCAAGCACAAAGACCAAATTCATCGTGGCTTCTTGGGTCCAGCGATGCTCAGGACCGTACCTGCCACTACAGGCAGGAACGACTTGGCGCAGCAAATCCTCGGCCTCTTGCAAAGAACTTGGCTCATTGGTCTGAACCAGGAGCTCTGCCAACAGCCTGCGACGTCTCACCAAGTCTGGGTGGTCAGCATCCACTCGCAACTTCAAAGCGTCAATGGCTTTCCGCACCTTCTCTTTGGCATCTTCCAGTCGGCTGCGATGAGAATCATCCTTCAATGAAAACCGGAACTGCCAATCCTCTCGATCTCGGGCTGACACAACACTACCCAGATTGTTCATGCTACCCAAAGTGTCAGGATGGTCTTCTCCAAGAACTCGGCGCCTGCCTTCCAGCACTTCCCTGTGCATCTCCTCGGCTTCACGCCACCTGCCTTCTGCTTGAAGGACATTTGCAAGGTTGTTCATGCTGCTCAGGGTATGTGGATGCTCCTCTCCGAGCAGTCGCCGCCTTGCCTTCAGCACTTCGCTGTGCGTTTCTTCGGCCTCCTGCCACTTACCAAGTTCACGAAGGACAGTCGCAAGGTGGTCCATGCTCCTGAGGGTGTCAGGGTGGTCCTGTCCAACGACTCTGCGCATTCCTGCCAGCGCTTGTCTTTGCATCTCTTCAGCTTCCTGCCACTTGCCTTGTTCTTGGAGGACAGTGGCAAGATTGTTCAAGCTTCTGAGCAAGTCAGGGTGCTCCTCTCCAAGAAGCCGCCGTCTTGCTGCCAGAACTTCTCTGTGCATCTCTTCGGCTCCTTGCTATCTTCCTTGTTTTTGAAGAACATTCGCAAGGTTGGTCATGCTGCTCAGAGTGTCCTGGTGGTCAGGTCCAAGAACTAGGCGCATTCCTTCTAAGGCTTCCCTGTGCATTTCCTCAGCTTGCTGCCACTTGCCCCGTTCTTGGAGGACAGTTGCCAAGTTGTTCAAGCTGCGCAGCCTGTCATGGTGATCCTTCCCAAGCACGCGCTGCCGAGCTTCGAGCACTTCTCGGTGCATTTCCTCCGCTTCGTGCCACCTGCCCAGTTCGCGAAGAACCAAGGCTAAATTGCTGGTGCTGCTCAAAGTGTCCGCATGCCATTTTCCAAGGACCTGCAGCCTAGTTTCCAGCACACTTCTGTGCATCTCCTCAGCTTCCTGCCACTTGCCTTGCTCTGACAGCAGAACTGCAAGATTGTTTCTGGTGCTTAGAGTGTGCGGGTGGACATTTCCAAAGTACTCGCATGTAATTTTGCTGGTTTCTCTGTGTATCTGCTGACCTTCCTGCAGTTTTCCTCGCTTCTGAAGGAGGGTAGCAAGGTGTGTCATGCCATTTACCAGGTCAATGACCTCTGCTTCCACAGGAACCTGTGTCAGCCTCTGTTGCTCTACTTGCAAGAGCTCTCTCAAGACTGTTTCTGCTTGTTCCCAGCGACCCTGCATGGTCAAGCCTGAGGCCAGTATCTGTGAACATCGCCGGCTGCATTCGCGATATCTTTTCTGTTGATCCGAGCTGATTTCCTCCTGACCCAGCCTCGAGGTGACTTGAGTCATGACCTTCTCGTGGAGTTCTTCAGCTCTGGACCACTGGCCTTTCGTAGCCCACTGGACCACGGAGATGATGTCTTCCACCAAACGGCTCAGTGTTCGTTCCATTGCCAGTTCTACAAGGGGGTCAGCCACGCAAAAGAAGTATTGGCTGCGGCAATGTACTATATGATGTACTATGATGTGCTA